ACACCCCCCCCCCCCCCCGGCGGGAAGCCTAGATTTATTTAACGGGGAAAATGGGAAAAATTTAATTTTTTTTTAAAGGATAATGACATTTTGTGTTAATTGGGGATTAAAGGCGAGATGTTGTCATGTCTGGCACAATGACAATTTTTGATATTTAAAGCAAATAACCTAGAACTGTTTAAAGTCAAATTATGATTTTTTTTTTTTTTAACTGACACGTGCGCTTTAATTATTGGGCTTATTCGACTGGTTCATTTCGTTGAGTACGAATTTTCGTTGAGTATTATTTTATTCGACTGGTTCGTTACTAATACTTCGTTGACAACGAAAATTAAACCAGAGTGCGTTAATCAGCGTTAAGTTATCCACGTGACCAAAAAAAAAAACATGGCCGATTTCTTAGTTTATAAACAACATTTGCGTTAAATCATAAAATAAAATTATAATATTTACCCACATGGAGTCAAAAAATAATTGTAGGCTAACAGAATTCAAAAACTGTATGAAAATATTTTTTTTAACGAAAAACCCATACTACCACAAGTTGAAGCAATCTTGATTACGCAACGTGTATCGCGGTCACTATACAGCCATTTTGTTTTTGTCGAGTATTTAAAATCTATTCGACTGGTCGTCTTCGTTTGAGAAGGATACCGCTGCGCTGTGCAGGTGGGCGTGGTTTAACGAAGAACGACTTTCGAATACGGCCATTGTTGAGCATAGAGGGCGCTAGCTTATAAACATAAACAAAAATAAAAATATTAGTAGGTAAAACATACAGTGTGGTTTCGGCAATTTTATTTCGTGGTAAGTTTAGAATTTGAAGTTATTTTTTTAATTAGTCCTATTTTATTTTAAACCTGGGACTAATATTCTGCGCTATTTATAATGATGGCCCTGCGTTATTATAAGACTGCCCTTCTAACTTACTAGGCTAGCTAGGAAGGACCTCCTCCTAGCTAGGCCTAGGTACTAGGCCCCTAGTAGTAGCCTATACTGACTGTAAGGCTAGGTAGACCCATCCTTTCTTTTAGGTAGGCATGTGGCCTAGAGTAGTAGCTAGTTAGGTAGGATAGGGCCTAGCCTAGGCGTACCTACCTAGGCCTGAGTAGGGAGGTTAAGCTTTGCTTGAACTAATTTGTATCTTAATTTTAACTTACATCCACCTGCAGTTTCCAACAATATTTTGTTTTCATTCTACATTTGATTTGAATTGAATCTACTGTAGTGATGACTGAAGTGACACTTACTTAACACACAAAACTAGTTTTGGGTCAAAGTTGGTTTGGTCTCAGTTGACTGCTGGGCTGAGTTGGTTTTGTTGATCCAAGTTGGTTGCTGGCTGGGTTGGTGGTTTGGGTTAATCCGTAGTACCAGAAAAAAGAATGTTCACAATTTTGATTTATTTGTTGAGAACATTATTGTCTTTCTCTTCCTAGATAGCATTTTGGTATTTTGCTCCAGTCGCATTTTGGTATTTTGTTCCAGTCGCAAGGAGCGACTGGAACTAGCGCCAATGTTAAGGCTGTTGTTAGCAGCTCCCCTGCATTACCGCTCAGCCACTTGACTCGCTTTACCAAGGAATCAGCAAATATGTAGAAAATTAAAAAGGTGAATATTGGTAAAAAGAAAGTATTTTCCTGCTTTTACTTCTTAATGCTAAGGTTGCTCTCCTTGCCATCATTATTTCGTTTGTGCAATTTTGTATTGTAAAAGTTACATACCGTATATATTTGAATAATAAATAAATGAAGTAAACGTCCCGGGATGTTTATTTCGTATAAATGCAGTAATTGTTTTTATTTTATCAGGAAGAGAAAAAAACAATTCAAAGAATACAGAGAATGTATGATTATGAAAACAATTCAGAAAGTGTTGGTGATAAGTTTTGCTCAATTTTGTATTATAAAAGTTACGTAGTTATTTCTTATTTTATCAGGGAAGAAAAGACGTAATTCAAAGAAAATGTATAATGGATGATTTGAAAAAATTCAGAGAGTCTTGGCAAAGAGAACTTAACGAAAATAATCTACTTCAAAATTCTCCAAGCAAATCAAATCTTGAAAGCAAGGAAGATGTGCTCATTTCGCAAAGAAAATCAGACAAGTCATTCACAAAATATACACCCTGCGTTAGAGTTGACAACTTACTGGAGGGAAAACGAACTTTCGATAAAGGTAATGATGAGCTTCATGGCATTTGCAATACAACTAGTGAAGCTGTCAACTGCCATGGTGTTAATACTAGGAAGAGGAAAAAGCTAAATAGTGAGGAAGCTGTGAAGTCAACTGGACTTTTAGAAGCACTTATAGCAGATTTGGTACGGTGAATCTTTGTTGCTTAAATGCTACTTGTTTATCTGTTTAAAAATTACTTATTTATTTATTATCCCAACCAACGGCAAACATAAAATTTGCCACTTACTGGTGGGAGTACAAACAAACAAATACATAAAAATTGTAAATGTGTAGAATACAAATACAAAAATATATACTAATAATTAAAGGTAATGGTAGGAGTATAACCCATAACTTGCAGCGTCATTGTGCTAAATTTCGTCGGGGCGTGGTCCATGACTACCTAGCAGCCGTAAAGAGGCACTTCATGGTAGCCACATGTTCACATCATTCCACAACGACGGGCTGAAATGAACCACAACATTGAGGTAACCCCCTACTCTTCCTAAAGATGCAATGGGTTCTTTAAAGTGCACACGAGCCAGATGTATACACTGGACCTCCATTTTATGTTCTTATCCAAGAAGACTTGGTTCTATCAACCGAACCACGGGCAAGCAGCGGCTGGAACCAGCGCCGATGTTAAGGCTGTAGTTAGCAGCGCCCCTGCCTTAGCGCTTGGCCACTCGACTCGTCTATAATAATAATAGTACTCATAAGTACTAATTTAATAATAATGATAATAATAATATCCAATAAAGTATGCCTAATATGTAAAATATTTCTAACACAGTTACAGAAGATAGAGAGATTATCACTAAAAACATCAATATCTGGATTCCTTAAACGAGAATTACTGTATAAGCTAAGCTTAATCTAATAATATAACCATTTTTAAGCACTTTGACTTTACTAGGGAATATGAAAAGTAGGATTAATACACACCGTACTGGGGATCCAGGAGGAATGATTTTCTTTCTCTAGGAACAGGAAGTCCATTGTGAATGGCATGACTCGGTTATAACTTGGAATTAAATTTTAATTAGCCTAATTATTTATATTAACTCAATGATAACAATTATATATTTTTTAAAAATTATATTCATAATAATTGAAATATGGGGCTTTTAGTGACAATTTGTTGATGTTATTTTTATTACAAATTAGTTGGTAATTAAGAGTTTATTTTAATAAATTGTGTAAATGTTGCAAGTTCAACGTTTTCATCTTTCAGGTTGCATGTTTTATACCTGAATAAATATAAAACTAAATAAATAAAATCTGCAATATTTTTAGTTCAACAATCTCACTGTGGTGTCAGATGATGGTGATCCAGGCTTTTTCAACAGGAGGAACTTTCCCCCTGACACTGCTAACGTCACCACTGCATGTTTAACTCATTTATTATTTTGATTATGCACTTTATACTTCTTAGCTTCTTTTTTACAATTTGATTCGGGCTGGGTCCCCGGGGACCCGCGGCTGCCATAGAGATGTGTATAAGAGACAGATATATATATATATGTATATATGTATACAACATTTTTTTTTTTCAGGATGAAATCAACGACATACCATTTTTTGATATAGAAATCCCACGGGAACTTGGAATAAAGATTTTCCAGTATCTGAGTATGCAGGATCTTTGCAATTGTGCTCAGGTAAAGCTTTGCTGCACTTGAGGGTTTAGGCTCAGCTACCAGTTGTGTGTGTAAAGAGCTCAGTAATCTAACGTTGTTTTATTGTTTGCACGCAAGTAAATACTGTGGGCTGGTAGTTGAGGAGAATTCACTTGCATGTGGTAGAAAAAAAACACTATTAATCAATCATAAACAAATTCTTATTAGCACAATGTTTAAAATGAGTTGATAAAAGTTCTGAGACACCAAAACCAAATGAAATCAACAACAGGACTGAATACACATACTCTATATAGTTGAGTCGTCAATTCTACTTCCAGAAGTGTAGGATAATTGGGACTACCCCCCAATCATCCAAAAATGAGAGAAGTACAATTGTAACCGAAATAAAACTATGTTGTATTAGTTTTACTATACCCCAAATATTAAACAGCAAACCCGTCTGTCTACATTAGCAAATTTGATCCGTGACAGTAAAATTGCACTGCTTGCATTAGCCACGTAGGCAGAGATTCAGTAGTTACCCTATGTACACTTAATTTGGCATGCGCAGGTTAAGTAGTAATAAAAACTACCGCACCCCTTACCTAATGGAATTGACTAGTAATGAAATGGTAGTTATTACCTACAGTAATTATTATTTATGAGTAAATATAAATTTATATCCAGCTATAATCATAAAAATAGATAACGATCGCTTTCTATACTTTTTATTTTTACTTGTTCTGTAACCTTTTTTTTTTTTCCTGTCTGATCTGTTGTTTTTTTTTCTGTTATCCATTTCATGTATTTTTTTTTCTGGCAAACCTTCTACAAGCTTTGTGGCTTTTTTGGTTTTGACCTTTTCAAATTTTTTCTCTTTTATAATTATTGTGAATCACCTGTTCATTTACTTTTTTGGAGAAAATAAATGTTATTTGAAATTAAATGAAATGAATTGTGAATGCTTATCACCAGGCCACTTTCAGGGTGGGAAGCACCAAGCCATCTGTCCAAAGGTGCCCTGGGGTGGTTCATTATACTGTGAAGTTAGACTTGCCACAAGTCCCTTATTATTTTTTCTCATTCTGGACAGCACCACCAACGAGAAACCTAATTTAGAGATATTTAGAGATAAAAAAAAAAAGAAATCAAGTATGGGACACCAATTAAATTAGGTATGGCACACACTAAGTGCAATTATAAGCGAGTAACCCAAAATTAGGGTTACTGTGAAGCTTTTATTTAGGCCTCAACAGTTTTCCATCTCTTGACTCCATGACCCATAGTTATTGCGCCATATGACTTCCAAAGTCCCGTCACCTACAGTGTACCCAATTTCCCATTGCTGAACACATCACTGTTTACATTCTTGTTACCATCTCTCTAGGTCAGTTCAAGTTGGAGGAGTTTGGCTGATGATCAGTTGCTATGGTTTCCATTCTATAAAGCTCTGGGTTTTTCTACTGATGTCACTATTGATAGTGAAGCAAGTTGGAAACTGGCAGTCAGGGATGGATTAATGCAAAGGGATTTGTTAATCAACAATTGGAAGGTATAAATCAATATTTGAAGTTATATAAGTTATTTATTTTCAATTTGAAAATATTTTTCTTCTCTTATTAACAGATGCATATATGAGGCATGTCATGGCGATATGGTTAAGTTGTCGCACAGGCCAGCATTGAGTAAATAAATTATAAAAATGGGAGCTAAGAAAATTGCAAAAAAATCCAAATTTGTTTTTCAATATAGATCAACAGTTTAATGTCTTATTAATTATGTCCCAAAGTATTAGTTGAGGAAGTGGTCAACAAATCTTTAATTAAAGTTATTTTGATAGTTAATTCTATTAAACAATGTATGCTCAAATAACTGTGGAAGGCAATTACTCAAAATCATGTTTATCTTGACTCTAAGAGTTCTATTTTTTCACTTTCCAATAACTTAGGCTTGAAATGTCCAATTTCAATGAATTACCTCTCATTTAAGATCACATAGGTATCTGAAAATACCAATAACTTGAATTTCATTTTTTGCTAAAACTTAGCCATTTTGCCACAACATGCCTCATATTACTTACTGTTCCTGTACCACAGCACCATTCACTTCTTGAATATATATGTACAACTGACAGCTATGCAAACATGTTCTAGTTGAGAAATTGCAGTATAAAATTTTATGCCAGTTTAAAATTGATATTTTCATCATTGAATTTCTAGGGTCGTATTGGTCGAGTGACAACGCTTGAACATATCACTGGTGGAGTTCTCTGTGCTGTCAGTTCATGCGATATTGCTATTATTGCTGGGTAAGATGTACTAAAATCTCAAGTATCTTTACCACTCTATCGGTACATTCATGTACGGTATAGTGCAGAGGACTTTACATCTTAGTTATATCATGTAGAAGACATGTATTTTGCAAAATGTGTGTGTGGACCATCCATAATTTAAAATTATATGTGTCTATTTTATTTTCTTTATAGAGTATTAGATTATGATTATTATATCACATAAAGGAGAAGTTTATCAATTTTATATAATGTGAGAACTGATTTAGCATGCTCAGTTACACAATATCCCATTTTTGAAATTACAAATCACATGCGCATTCGTTATGTAGACTCTCAACTTGAATTTTTACTGTATATGTTTTAGGTTACTCAATCGGCATAATAAAATATTACATATGCATGGTTTGCAATGAATTAGTATGCACCCAAATGCTCAAATTTGGACTATCTGAAATGTGTAGTCATTTGCATGGCAAATTAGTGTAAAATGTCTAGTTTTAGAATTACATGCATTGAATTAGAATTTTTTTCATTTAATTCCTCAGTTTCCACTCTTGTTACTACAGTTAATTGCATTTATTGTCAGCTCAATATTACCATCAATATCATCTTATTCTATATCCTCATACCCATCATTTAGGTCACCAAATTATCTACAGTTTATGTATATCAACATTTATGTTTTTTCTAGATTTTCAAATGGTAGTGTAAAGCTGTGGAAAGTAAACAGGCAAGTCGAAGAAGAAACTATGCTTTGTAGTTGCTATGACAACATGGGACTCAAGAATGCTGACAGGCCAAGTGTCAATCATGTGGCTGTTAATTCAGTTATTTCGGTTGCAACCTACAACAATGGTGATTTTATTGTATATATATATATGTATGTACTGTCTCTTATACACATCTAGATGTGTATAAGAGACAGGTCCTATGTGTATTCTGCACAAAGCCTTGATGCACTAGATTGAGTTGATGTTTACTACTTACTTTTGTAGCTGGCTATCTAGGATGTAGAAGGGCCAATCTCATCTACAAATGTAGTAAAAACTTGATATAATATTAATGATATGATATTAATTTTAAAATATTGAAATACATTGATATTCATTTGTAATTGTTGAAGGTGATGTGGACATCTGGAGCACACAGCATGGAGGTGACCCCATTCACCATTACCACCAAGATGGCATCCAATGTGTGTCCATAGCAACTGATGATGCCCAAGTTGTGAGTGCCTCTGGGAAAGAATTGAGAATAGAAGCAGCAGACAACTCAGGAAATTGGTTCATGCAAGACTGCATTACGCTGGATAAATACGTAAGTTTAATGAGATAGTGATATTGTATCCATTGAGAGGCTTCAAAATACCAGGGGTTATGGAAATGCCCTTCAAATTTCTAGGCGAAATCCCACAGAGATTCTCTTTAACCATCAACATGATATATAATAGGGTCTGTACTCTAATCTATGATATCTTTGACACCCTCCACCTTCACGCCTCTTTAATCCCATGTGGCTTGTGAGATCACACTAGAAACCTTCCTAACCCTGTGGAAACTACTACACATTAGGCCGACCAGCCCTCCTTAAACTAACGTTAGAATACCGCACTTTCGGCGGTAAATAACAATTAAAACCTCATAAAAAAGGCAATTAATCCATTTACCTATAATTGAATCCAAGGACACCAGTGTTAAACACTCAGTACTTATCCTTGATAATGTGTTAATCCAATTAATATAGTGAGATAATTGAGCTAATGAGGCTTCTAGCCTGTGGCCTGAGAAATCTACCTGGAGTCTTCCTTCAGTACTTCTGCTAACCTGTGGAATAACTAAGGAGGCTAAACTACAGAATCCCCTAGTCTTCCCTTCACCTGTGGGGTATGGACTTTATCTGGAGGCTTCCTATAACACATGGCCTGTGGAATCACTTAGAGACTTTCTGCAACCCATTCCCTGTTAATTATCCCAAAATTGATCTACATTTGTCTGTTTTCTAACTTTAACAACTATAAACTTTTCAGATTGATAATGTGAAAATATTTCAAGTTCCTAATAAGAAGCAAAAAGGCAGTTATGTTTCCGTGTCAACTGCAAATGGTCTGTACATTTATAAGCCTGCTCCAGGGCCCAGGTATTTGAGCCTAGTTCACACATTTGTAGGGTCAACACCAACTTGTATGGAGGTCATATCTGATCACATTGCTTGTGGCTTTGGTGCTGCCGGTTTTCAAGAAAGTTTCACAGTGAAATTATTTGACATTGAGACCAAAAATGTGAAGCATGTGTTCCGAGGTCATAGTTGGGATGTCACATGTCTCCATAGTGACGATGCCTTGCAGAGTATGCTTGTTACAGGTTGTAAAGATAAACGGTAAGATGTAGGGTAATTGTCATGACTTGTATGTGTTGTTCATTGAATTCTATAACCAATGTTTTGCTAACCTAAGATCTATACATTATCACAATTATACATTAACAACTTTTCCCAATATTTTTGTCTTGTGTTCCACATTTCCACTGATTTGAATGGGAATTTATTTAAGTATGTACATATCCATTTGTGTGGGTGTATGTGCCCTAATAAGGGATCTTTGCTAAACATGGAAAAATCAGTTGTATAACCTATCAAAAAAGGTATTTTCCTCCTGAGCCTGGCTTTAAGATTCAGCTTCCTTTTCAAGCTTTAGCATCACTTTATTCCAAACTTGACAAAGGTTCTTCCTTCTTCATACCATCTGTAGTTTCACCCAGTTATCTGATCATCCTCTTAACTGTTTTCCCTCTGCTGTCAAATCTCATTTTCTCACTTCATTTCTTTCTTTCTCAATTAGTTTATCATACTACCTTAGACTTCACCCTGCTTATTGTTCACATGAATTGTTGTCTGCATCTCAGGATATTCTACATTATAAATAACAGAAAAACGTCCCAAACATTGGTGGCTCTATCATTATTTTTCAGATTATTCCAGGAACGTTCACTTCTGATGCAACCAATATAGACTTACATAGAGGCCATTATTGTCAATGTTTTGAGCTTTATTTATCTTTCAAAATAAGACGCCAACAATTTTTCTCTTGACGTGAGACAAGAGTTGTCTGTTTTTTGTTGAATGTTATGTTTTTACTATCCCTATTGTTGTCATCTGGTGTTTTTAATATTGCTATTGTATTGGTATTATTACTACTACTGACATGGTATGGTTGTCACTCTTGCTGTCATAGTGACAGTTGATACATTATTAAAGTCTCAGGTGACGTTATCAGTATTGCTCTCATGGCGACATCTGAGACAATATTATTTTCATTCTCAGGTGGCGTTATCATTATTGATGTCATATTGTTGTTATCAACATATTACGGTCATGTTTATTAAAAATATTTAAATATTTTATACTCAGCAAACACATTGTAAATTTTAATCCTTTTTAATTTCTCTATTGTTGACCTTTTAGAGTTAGGTTGTTTGATTTTCGACTAAAGAGTAATCAACCTGTAGTGCAGCTATCTGGACATGGGGGCGCTATTACTCAAGTACAGGTCGATGAGTGGAAAGTTTTAAGTGGCGGAATGGAAGGCATGGTTTGTCTGTGGGATCAAAGAATGCAGAGAAAACTTTGGGATTCATATGCCAGGTAGGAATAATAATAATAATAACAATAATAATAATAATAATAATAATAATAATAATAATAATAATAAATGAACAAATGATAATGAAATAAAACCATAACAATACAAGTGTGTTAGAGAAAATGTGAGCGTCATGACAAAATGAGTCTTGTGTTACAAAAAATGAAAAATGAGTTATTGATATAATAAGGTAGATGACTACATAAAAAAAGCTTCATTTTAGTCTTTGAATTAGGTTCCTAGGTTGAGCAGAGCTGGAGTAAGATCATTTTCAAATTCAGATAGATAAACAATTGAAAAATTTTGTGTTGGTTTTCTTATCACAATATGTGCCTCAAAAACACATTAGGTAACTTAACTCAGAACCTTTGCTACCATGAAACAATAAATTAAACTTATCAGAAACATTGAAACCCTATTTTTGTCAAAATATCACTTCAGATATATTTTCCTACATACAGTATATCAAAATGACCTGGCATACCACTAGACTCATTTTGTCACGATACCTCACAAATATGTAATGATCAGAGAATGAAACAGACCAAGTTGAGGTCAGTTGTGTTGCAAGGATTTGTCTGATGAGGAAGGAGGGGTGCAAAGCTTCCGGTAGCTTGCCATGAGTATCATTATGCAGAACAACATATAATTAGGGGTAGTTTTAGGGATGTCCAAAAACGGGGAAGGGGGATGGTGCCTGATCAAGTGACTACATTACACTAGGGGGCCCGAAAAATGTTTGTTTTATAGACACCTGGAAATAATCTCTGAGGCATTTTGGGAAATCAATAATTTCCTTATCTTTGTTTCTTTTTTTTCTGTTTTTTTCGTTTTTTTTCGGCCCCGGACAAGAATAACATGAGTAAGGAGATATCATTAAACCAGATCTCCCTTTTTTTTAATTAAATGCGGTTGCTTCTGTTTGTTGTACCCACTTTCTCATAATTTTGTTTTAAACTCCTTTAAACGTTTCATTGCTTTTCAGACATCCTGTAAGATACCTTTGTTTCAAAGGTGGTGGCTTAGTGACTGCCAATATTCCAAATGTCAAAAGTTTAGAAGATGAACTAGAAACTGTCACACACAGAAGGTACAGTTTTGGTTTTATTTCAAGTTATTTACAAGTTCTTAATTATTTATAATTCATAAATCATAATTCTCTTTATTGCAATCATATTAACAGATTACAAAATACAGAATATTCCAATAGTCAGTGGAATTTAAAACACACGAAAACCAACAAGCAGAAGTGTGATGAACTTTTAGTGTAAAATCATTATAAAACAACATAAATTAATTCTAGAAAATTCTACACAAAATTATTACACAAATTTAAATGAAGATATACAGCAAATAATTATTTAAACAATTATTATTCTTGTGACATACTGAATTTTAATATTTTATTGACTCGAACATTTTCATTTATCTCTGACTTCATTTAACATGGTGTTGATTTACAGTAAAATGACATTATTTAATTTCATACTTTGGTAAATTACACAATGTTGTTTATATATATATATTTTTTTTTTATAGACCCACAGTTGGCTGGTTTCAATTTTAAGATGTATTTTTACATAATTCAGTAATTACATTTTATCACTTTTAGGTTGAGAGGAGAATTGCGACACTATAATTTTCTAGCCAATCAGACAAGAGAAGGTCTTCCATCAGTGTGCTTATCAAACTATGATGAACCTGAAGGCTATAACTACAACATCAGGCTAGCTGCTCCTTATGACAATTTATGAACTTCATTGGAAGTGATGGAGCCAGACCTACCAAACAGTGGTGGATCCAGATTTGCAAAAGTGCTTTCCCCCTCCCCCCTTCTTTGCAGAAGCTAAATTCATCACCTACTAAGTGGGAAATCATTTTGATATGAGATTAAGATGGGTAGAACCCAGAAAATTCTGGGAGGCATGGTCCCCTGTACCATGCAGTAGGTAAGGGAACACCCCCTAAAACCTTCCTCTCTGGACCATAGGATCCACCCTTCTGAACTAAAGTCCTCAATTGCCACCGTGGCAAATAATTTATGGATCTGCCTCTGCCTGACTATTTATAAAAATAAGCAGAGCTGTAAGGCTTGTTTGAAATTGATGTAGCAAAGCCTACAAGAGGGAATTTTAAATTAAATTTTAATTGAAAGTTAATTTTTAATTTTCCCCTAACGTGCAAATGTTATGTTGTTATAAAAAATTAATTATGAGGGTACGAATATACTGACTGAATTATTAAAACAAAGCTTTACAAATGTAGTGTATGTATGGAACTCTATGATACAAATTTAAATGAAGATATAGAGCAAATTTAATTATTTAAACAATTATTATTTTTGTGACATACTGGAACATTACAAATGAAATTAAATAATCAATTGCAATGTAAGCTATATGTATTTGTAGTACTGTATTGTAGTCTCTATTGTATACCTAAACTATAAATTGTAGCTTTTACAGTAGGCCTATATTAAACACAACTAAAATCTGTACATGAACTAGTTTAGTGCTCACAGTAGGCCCATACATACTGTAAGATGTGTGGTATGTAGATAATTCGGCAGAAAAATACTAGTGTTCTGCGGTGCTGCAGTTTGGCCCAGAATTACCCGCCTTTCTCTATATTTTTTTACTTGCTATGCTTCCACGTACCTTTCTACTTAATCTCTTCGCTGTGCTCGTCATTGTTCCACGTGAGGCTTCTTGCACTCAACTATCCATGTACCGACACAAGGAATCTGTGTGAGATTAGCATTTAGAGACACAAAGAGTTGACAACTATACTCTCCAGCACTGAAGAGCTTGAAAGTAATGATCGTGGTTTTTGTCTGTCCCGCTGTTGAAACATTGTATGTGATATTTTTAGCCAAAGAATCGCCCACACCGTCCAACTTTAGATCACAGAGAATTTCAGCAGAATTTATTGATTGCATCACTAGTTGGCAGGTACCGTTAGCAGCTATCATATACGGATTTGTAGGAGAAACTACCTCAAGACCTAAATCAAAGAATTTTTTGTTTGGCCCAACGATCCCTTTGATATTGGGAAAAGGAGATTCAACAAATGGTTCGTCGCATTCCACCAACCAGCAACCTACCGACATAGGAATATCCTCACTTGCAAGTAATGTAAATTTGAAAAAACCTACTTGCATCAATCGGAATTTTATGGTATACTTTCCATTTCCATTGTCACTATATGATAATTGTGGACTAACACAACGTTGTAGTTGTGTCCCTGTACTGTCAGCTGACTCTAACTCGTAGCTTATGTTAAGTTTTCGACAGTCTCTTGCAAATACATTCAAAGTGCACACACCAGAGCTTGTTGTCAGAGTGGAACGCCGAGGTGAAACAACTTCTAAACCATGTTCATAAAACTTTCCATGTGGACCAGAAATTTGCTGGAAAATGGGAAGGAATTTTCCAGTCCAGGCTCTTTTACATTCAATTAGCCAACAGCCTAGTAATTTGCCAGAATTTTGACCGAGTAGTCCCGAATACAGAGTGAATTTATAGTATCCTTGGGATGGTAAACGAAAGTGATACATCAGAACCTTGTCTCCATTATTATTGCTTACATGATCAATGTCTGCATAGACACAGGAAAATGGATTATGAGAGGAAAAATCACCTTCAAGTTCGTGAAATACATGCCTTTTTTTATATTTAGTTACACGAACACATAATGAACAAGTGCCGTCATTTGCGAATAAATTACCTCTTTTGTGTTTCAAGAGTTTGAAGTTCTCTTTGAAAAAAACATGAGTGGGTCCACAAATATATGGCACTTCAGGATAATATTCACCGTCAAACTTTTTATGGCAATCTATCAGCCAGCACCCAGCTATGTGAAGGGTGGTCTCATCAAGACTGCCCAAAAAGATACTAAACTTGTAGAAACCCTTTTTCGGGAGTCTAAACGTGAATATGATAAGACCTTCAGTAGTCCCTCTCAACTGGACTTCACCGTTCACATAACGTTTCATCGAATCGGAAGTTACGTCGTTCTCCAACGTATAGGAAAACGAAGTTGTGGAATATCTGTGGCACAGTATTGTTAAACAACACGTACCGTCAATACTGGTAAGTGTTGACACTTCTGGTGCGACAAGGTACGAACTTTTGCCGTGTGCTGTAAGGCCGTAAACACCCTTATGTGATGGGTATAGGTCGCCTAAGTATGGTCTATCACACTGAATGAGCCATTGGCCTATACATGGAAGGCTTTTTTTTCGAGATTTTCCGGCGAAGAGTTGTAATAGAAAGTTGCCTTCCATTGGTACTACAATCTTGTAGTTAACCTCTGTCGATTTCATTCTGGAATCGGTCTTTGTTTCGGCGCATAACATATTTTGTGACAAATGGTGTTCATGATCACCAGTGTGTTTTATTGTATGAGTTAGTTTAATATTGCGTTTAGATGGAAATCGAATTCTGAGTGTACCGCGACCATCAACTGTTTTAATGGTAGAAGTTGGTATGCCAAGTATTTCAAAACCTCCTTTAAAAAAATGTTTGTTTGGTCCATATTGTCCTGACCCGGCAGGTGGATAAGGCTCTTTGCGTGCATACTTTTCTTTACATTTGACTACATACTGTAACCCCAGCAAATATTGGTTATCATCTACTGTAGTATCAGATTTAAATGAAACTGCAAATCTGTATTTGCCTGGTGTTGGGCATTGGATGTGGTACACTATTTTATCCATCAGCCATTCACCGTAGACATATCTGTCTAGTAATTGGTCTTCCTTACCGATTCGGGTTAGATTCGCAATCAGCTGTCCATTTTCCACAAGTGCCACCTCTATAGACACTTTTCCATTAACGCACTTAAGAAAAGGACCACCAATATGTGATACGGGTAGGAATCCTGCTTCAAGAAATGCAACGGAAGGGCCGTAGCACACTCCGGCCAACTCACAGTCAGCAAATGGCTTTCGGCTTCTTCCGCCCCCACATATCTTGTACGCAAAGAGTTCCTTGGAGTCAGAAGAAGTGACGACCTCTGGAGAAGCATTGATAAGATTCCCAGAAATAATCAGATTAAAATTACCTTTGAATGGCAAACGAACATAAAATGTTGTCACATCATCCTTGGTAAAATATATCACACGGTCTTTGTACTTCTCTTCACTGACTACCTCCTTCAGTGAACCTGTATATTTCATTGCATGCCGGTTACGTATTTTTATCTTAACCAAGTTATCATTAGATTCAATCACACCGGTTGAGTGACTTAATAACTGTATGCCCGTTGCCAATCCAAGGGAACTCCAGCACACTGTGGAATTCCAAGTATCAAAATTTTTGAATGGGCACTCAATAATCTGCTCTTTCAACATATAGGCCTGGTTGTTGCTATCACGTGGTAAGTGGCTTGACGTAAATGATATTGGATTTGCTATAAACATTGATTCCATCCATTTGTGTTCGAACTTGTGTTTTCCGGAAGAATCTTTGTCTGTAAAGATAATTTTCATTAATTCCCTTTTCATTTTGAAATCGAATGTGATTTTAAATATTTAAATAAAATGCGTACAAGCCTAGTTTCTCTTTTAAGATCAACACAAATTTTGTTTTTGTAATATTCCTGATGTAAGATATACAATTAATGATGGATAGGAATATAATAATATATCTAGAACCTGGTAGGGTTTGTTTATAGGTTGAACCCACAAACAAAAACCAGTGACATTAAACACTGTTCAGTTTAGCTTATTTTCATGAACACGTTTAAAAGAGGTTTGTTAACCAGACCCAAAACCCAACGGCATCATCGTCAACCCCTTATCACTCTTCTGTCGTAATTCTAATTTCAACGGTATTACAAATGACCTTATATAATAATAATATTCAAATGGTATAGTATATTGTATCGAATTCATCAATCATAAATGTTTAATTTGCTAATGTTGATTCCGTACCAGTACTCCCTGATGCCCAGGTACAATCACACTGGTATGGCCTGTTGTCGATCCAGACGATATTCCAAGCGTGTGAATCTGGAAGTTCAATAGGTTCGCCGTCTTCGCGACATTGTTCGTAGTCCAGTCCTGGTGCCGAACGTGACCCACCATCAATGTATTCACATTTCAAACCAGCCTCTCTAGAAAACAGAATTTATATATTGGTATCCATTGAGAACCTCACAAATATATTATAATGGTTGTCATGCCAAATATTATGACAAATAAAAAATAAGTAAAGTTAATACGTTAACAACTCGCCCCTCTACTTTATCTTTTGACTGGCTTGTTTGCAATAACACTTGCATTATGTAATAAATAGTTATAAAACAATTGCGCCAGCGTTCAGATGAAGCAAGGGCGTCATGGTCCGGTTTTGCGGACCAATAATTTACAACTCAATATCGTTTCTAAGTCAAATTGCACTTTCTCTGCGCAACCACTTTTTTTTTTAGGTCTACAAAATTAAATAAACTGACTTCAAACAACAAACATGATTTGATTCACCAGTAATAATCTTCCGGCCCGAAACCTAAACTCAGATTTAGAAGTACCATGATGTCCGACGGGTATATTTAGATGACTATAAGATTAGATTAATTCTAGAAAAACATTTCGCTTGTACTAGCAATCATTATTCAGGCCCCGAAAGGGGAGTGGGGCGGGGCAGGGGCTTAAGAACCCCATCGGTCTGGTCAATCACCCCCATCGGCTAAAGCTCGTCGGGCATTCGGACCAACAAAAAAAAATAGGCCTAGTTTTCCCATCCCAGCCATTTCCGGCCATCTGGAAGTCCCAATTTTTTTTTCTTTTAATCTCGTTTTGGGAGGAGGGACCCCCTCCCATATCCCAACCCTGGCTTGGGCCTTCAGACCTCAGATAATGCTGCGTGCTATAGTCACACCCATAAATAGTTAGTCCCCCATCCCAGTCGAACATATCCTAGAACCGCCATTGGTCCGGTGGAGGATTACTTCTCAAATTTTCTTAGGCCTAGATTAAGTTTTTTTTTTTTTTTGTTAAGAATTAATTATCTTATTATTAAAAGCATTACATGTTAAAGCTTTGCTTCCAATCAAGGGCGTCGATCCGTGTGAAAAGTGGGGGGTGGTGGACGAATTGCAAAATAAGGAAAGTCTTGGGCCGTAGGCCCAAGCCTTGGCTGGGGACGGAGGGCGCCTAGGCCCCCGGTCGTGTCCAGGGGGAGAAGCCTCTTGGAAGATCTGGCGTCTATTGCATTTTAGTCGTATCTAATTAATTTTAAGCAATTAAAATTTATTTCCACACTAAATTTTCAAAATACAGTGGCTGATCCTGAAATTCGAAATTTTAGGGGGTGGGGGAAAGCAGGGAGGGACTTTTACAGATGGAGGTTAGACCACCTTAGCCCCACCATGTGTTGGGGCTGAGGTAAGAAAATTTATGGAAAATGGTACTCTCGACTTAAATTTGAATATAATTTTCTTTTTTCTCTACTTACAAATTTTTAAAACATAGGGAGAATGGGCCAGCTGGGATCCCTTGGATCTGGCACTGAAATACTCATCATAAATTTGTTTTCAATTTATCCCGGTAATCATAGTCATGCCCGCTTACATATTTCCTGCAAACTATAAACATTCATAAAAATTATCTACTTATTATCTACTGATTAGCTTGTGACGTATATGAACTAATTCTATGACGACATACGCTTTAGGAAGTTGAAGGTATTAGTGTCAATTCACAGGAAATTTATATAGGATTCTTGATCATGGACCCAGTCTGTGGACTACGTAAAAGAACTTTAAATAGCAGAAGAATGAGCTGCTCCGCGTATTTGTATTAAAATTGATGGAACATCTCCCTCCCGCGAATGGGATAAAATTTGACATTTTACTAAGTGGAGAAAAATACAGGAAACAAACGAACCAGAGCGGCGCCTTTATTATTGCTATATAGCGCCGCCGCGCGGACGGGGAAAAATTGCTCTCCGTGTACCCATAATGCCTTTCGAACGGATGTTCCACTATATTGGGAAGCTGCTCTATCTTCTGCTATTTATTATCTTTGACTACGTTGCGATACGCACCCTGTTTGCTTCCTTTGGCAATCCACAGTCTACACCCCACCACCTCTCTTTTGCCCCATTTCGCCGTCATCTTCGTCGTCACAAAATCAGTAGCAGTAGCTGGTGGGCGACAATCCCCTACTCTTTTCGAGAGTGTGCTGCGTTCACATCCATGGGCCATAAATGCACGCGAGACCAACGGCTTAAACGTCTCATCCGAAAGACGATGCGCTATTGTAACTTGTATTTCAGCCCTAGCGGAAGCAATGGGAATTGAACCGGGGACCTAGAGATCTCCATGGTTCACTCCCACACATTGGCTACCACCAGATTAGCCGACCGGTTACGAAATGTACAAACAACTGCGTTTTTACTCAGAGCACAAGTGAAGAGACAAAATTCATGACAGTCATTCGTTTTTGTTGTTGTTCTTTCCACTCGCTTTAAAATGTGGGGTTTTAATTATAAAAGATTGGTGAAAAGTGGGGGGGGGGGGGAACAATTGATATGGGGGGGTAACAATTCATATGATGTCCCCAACTTTGAAAAGTGGGGGGACGTGTCCCCCTGTCCCCACCGATCGACACCCATGCTTCCAATGTAATTTCTTCTTTCATCTCATTTTCATATTTTCATTTACTGTTATAAATTTTCTATTATAATCATAATGTGAATATGAATGTGATTTATGTAATAAACCGAAATGGAAACTAAACATTTAATGTATATTTAAACGCCCGCCTGTTTTTTAATATTAAGTGCATCATCCAGTACGTTATTTGACTGCACCTTTAATAAAGCAAGAATTTACTAAATAAATAAAACTGCTAATAATTAAGTAAAGACCAAAAAACATAGCATATTTTTATTTGATAAGATTCCTAATGATACATCTCATCCATAGCATAACAAAATATTCATTTTTATAACGATTGTAAAAGATAATGTAATGTAATATACCGTACCTTCTGCAATCAGAACATATATTTTATTTCGTTACATATACTGTAATACAATATCCGGCAACTTGTGTATATAAACATAGACATTGTTTTAAATATTGTATTGCATAAATTTTGTAGCCCTACTTCTGCAATTATTTAAAGAAGAAGCATCTCGTTATTATTATTTAATTACAGGCCATAAAAATCTGTCACTCACAATGATCAGTTTACATTCCATTTCGATATGGAAGACTGTAAAACTTCAATAAAGAAACCTTGAAATAATCTATTTTTCTGCGTGATTTGCCAATCCTAAGAACTTGTCTGGGAACATTACAGGTGGGTAGTCCTCTCTGTATACATGTAATGTTTTCTAGCCTAATACCGGCAAGAATACGATGCTGTAATGTCCCTATCGGTATCGTATTAAAAGTTGTAGCAGCGTATTATGCGTATATTTGATGGTATGTACGTACGGACGCTCTGCTTGCGTACGGTATCCATCAAGTTAACAATTTTAAATAATTGCACTTCTCATGGTTTATGTAGTAGTCGAGATATTTTAGTTGTTGTGGTTTGTTTTTAACCCGATTTGAAAATCTATGGCTTTCGGTTCGCCAACAAGAAATTTGACAGCCTCATTGCCTCGACTCAATGCCTGATGTGTCGAGGCAACCACATTCTTTTTTTTTTCCTATGGGGATTCATGAAGGAAACTCGAATGCTTTGTACGTAAAATAGTAGCTACCCTTATCCTTATGTGCCTTTGACCTATTATCGGCAACTTTAGTTCATGCTTTGGTGGTCACTGGTCTTCATGTTCCAGACTGGGTAGCCGTTTATTCAATGGGACTCTTGCGCGCATTCAATTCAATTCTATTCTCCCTACTTGCATTTGTATTTGCCCTATCTATCAGGGTCCGAGAAACCTACTATTTTTTTAATACTGCATTGTTTTATGATTATTATGGGTTTCTTTTTCACCTGGTCTTTATCGATCTATCCATTCTGGAAAGCATCTAATTGCAATTATAAGTGTCTGAATGTGCACATCAAAAGCTCAGGTAGGGGCTGTCGGTATGTAGAGTTCAGTGACTTACCATAATTCCTTGGTAGCTGAATATTTACCGTTCACTATCGATCAAAAATGACATGACGTGATATTAGATTTTTTTTAAATAGACAGAAAACGATGGAAATGAAAAAGAATTTAAAAAAAAAAGCAGCGATAGACAGAGTTATGTTCTTGGGCTATGCTGGTGGGCTATGGAGGTGAAAGTTAAATGATTCCATGAGACGGAATTCACTCACTCGCATAACATTTTGTATAGTTTAGCGTAACCGTCACATACGCAGACGCCTCGTGCCAGTGCAGCTTCGGCACTGTTATCCCCTCTAATCTTCGTGTCGAGGTAGTTGACATCATATGATAAGTAGTTTGCCTCCCATCGAAACAGCACTCGCGCCTTCTGAAGGTCTGTTTCTGCAAATCGTGTCAGATACTGAACGAGAGTAGTAACATCATTTTTAAGTTCCACAGGTGCCTTAATAAAATAGGAACATATACCATTGAATAAATATGCCTATTTCGTTTGTTTGTGTTTTTTTTTAAATTATATTTCATTATTTTATAAATAGTTTTCCCTTAAATAGTTCGAAAATAATACGCCTAAGCTAATATGGTCATTTCACGACACATACAAAAAGTCCTTATTAAAGAATATTCGGTAACCAAGTTATCAATTCCTATAGGCGAGGCTTTCTTCTATCCTTGTTTTGGGAACTTATTTTTTTAAAGATCGTCAGAGGGCGAGATAAAAAAAATAAAACTATTAAAAAATCATTTTATTTTCTCCTCCGTGTAAATGTGTTTGGCAAAACTATATGCTAAATAAGAAAACAACATTTTAAAAATGTTGTTTTCTTATTTAGCAAATAGTTTTGCCAAACACATTCAGACGGAGGAAAAAATAAAATGATTTTTTTTTTCTTTCTTTTTATTTTTTCTTTTAGGCGAACGTAAGCAGTGTAGTAATTGGATGGTTAAAAGCTTTAAATGTATATAATTAGGAAGAAAGATACATAGGCCTATCTTATTTTTGGAAATTTCAAGGCAACAGAGGGCGTAATAAAAATAAAGGATACGGTAACAATTTTGTTTCTGAGATTTACATTTTTTCGATGCGGCGGGTGCAATAATTGGCAAAAAATAAAATGTTATTCTAATTCGAAATCATCGTTATTGGCGGGCGGCGAGTTCACTAAACAAGGTTAAAAAAATGTATCGGCTTACCTGTAGTGCATGTTTATCAAAACGTCGTAGAGCAGTTAAATCTGGAATAAGTTTGCGTTTACCCTTCCAGAATAGATCTTCTATCGTAAGCTTTGTGGGTGCAATTGGTCGATGCAAGTTCTTCAGCTCTGGGTCATTTCTTTGACGGTAGTCTCTTGTATTAACTTGTCCACTATCATCTGATGACATTAACCCATTTTCCCTCTCATCGTTTATGGCAGTTTTTTTACCCCGTTTTTGGAAAATGTCATTCTCGTCAAGATCACTAAGGCAAAGATTATCGTGTCCCTGTTCGCCAAGAGCATATTCGTCTTTTTGTCTAAAAGACTGAATATGTGAAATTGTAGAATTTTCAGGTGAGGTAAGTTCACTTAGATTGGATGACCTCAGTTCAGCAGAAGGTCCATGGCAATGCAGACAATGGGAAGTAGACGTGGCGCAGCCCATGACTTAGCCTATCCCTCTACTTCATTACACTGGTGGTGAAAATTATTCATTGTTTATCTATATAATTGTATTATATATAAAGCTTGGGATAATTTCCATCCTAACAATGGCGATTTTAATTACAAACGTAATTTGTGTGTTTTCAAATTCCAGGGGCGCATGGGGGAGTGGTGGCGCCAGTGGGGCATTGGGTGGAGGGAGGGCCCCCACAATTCATCGGGAAAACACATATATTAGGTATTTTCTACATAATAGTAGATGCTAAAAACGATGAAAGAAGCATTTGAAACCGCTAAATTGTCATTTTTTCGGGCGGTTTCCGAGAGATTTCCCAACCACTCTCACTTTTCTCTCATCGAGCACATCGCCCTCTTGTCGGGAGCATCGCCCTCCCCTCCCCTCGTCGGAAAAATCCTGGCGCCATCCCTGGTAGTGGGTTGGGTGGAACTCGATTTTCTTTAGGGCTTTCCCAAACCCCCTCCTCCATACACTCCTGTCGATACGCCCTGTTTCCTATTTCACTGCTTCCTCCATGGTAGGCTACTGTTTATGACTGATAATCCCATATTAGTCTCACCATGTTCATTGAGGAGCATCATATTATATTCCGTCTTATAAATGACCATCATTCTTTGTTCGATAACCAACAATATTAAATAGGGCCTGCAATGGAAATAACTCACCGAAGCTGGGTACCGTATTCCTGTGGCTCCTCTCACTGCCGATGGGTGGGCTGTTCGCGTACGGCAAAAGCTCTGATCTCACTGTCGGGTATGATTTATATATGGCTTAATACACAAACGGTCTGACTTGCAGCCAGAGAAATGAATAAACCTACTCTATGCAAGCAAATACACTTATCAAGCTGCAATCGCAGATTTGGAAATGATAAAATAACAAGATAAACCCAATTCATATCAGGGGAAAACGATCGGGATTGTCTGTGGTGAGTAGATTTGTTACATGATCCAATTCTAGTTCAAAGTCTATCTATGGTGCCGTGTATATGTTCATTATAAAAGTAATGATTATAATATTTATAGCATTATTATTACTTATTAGGCCCTATTATTATGTTTTGTCATTTTTATTACCCTAATTATCGTTATTACCCAGTCAGCCGCAGGCAGGGGTTCTGTTTTCTTATCATCCTTCTTCTGATTCTTGGCAACATTTCAAAACACTACTACACTGTAAAAACAGCGTGGAGCATGTAAACACAAAGCTCCATGCAATGTTGTCCCGTTTTTGGTGACACGTTTAAAAGCTAAACGTGTTTAGACATCTTAATAGGATCGTGACGTGTTTAGCATTAGATGTGTCATCTCTCTTACTGATCAAATCGGCCCAACCGTTTGGCACTACACCTTAAAAATACAGCGTGAAGCATTTAAACACAAAGCTCCACGCATATATGTTGTCCCGTTTTTGGTGACACGTTGAAAAGCTACGTGTTTAGGTCCGGCCGGCCTAATTTGTTTAGGTTTACATGGGTGTTCACCGCTTGGGATCAAAAGTCACACTGGGGTTATAATGGTAAAACAAAAAACAAAAATCGTAAAAAGACGCTTACTTTTGTCACAAATAACATAGCACAGTCTTGTCCTTTGTACATATGCATTGGCATAAGGCAGAGTATATGTGTTCAGGGATTTGGGGTCAAATGTCATCAAGGGATAATTTTTATCTTTTTTCTGGCAACATTTCAAAACGCTACATATAGTGGCAAACGTTTGGGCCGATTTCAATCAAACTTGGTCATAACCGGTGACAACTGGTAAATCTTGATATGGCATTAGTCTATTGTGTATTTAAAAAAGTAAAATATGCTTTTTTATGTCTTAGAAAAATAATATATCAAAAACTCTTTTCGTCAGAGCCTGGCTTTAAATGTAGGCCTACTCTTGTCACAAATAACATAGCAGTCTTGTCCTTTGCACATATGCAATTGCATATTATGCAAGGTCTTTATGATGTTCATTAAGCGTCAAATGTCAATAAAGTGTCATCTCTTTCTGGCAATATTATTATTATTATATTATTTCATCTTACTGGATAAAAAGACATTCACCGTTTGTATGCTGATAAATAATGAGAGTAAAGTTCAGAAATGAAAAACAAACACAAATCTTTGATTTTGTTTTTCTCCTGGGCAATTTGCAATTACCTCTAAAATTGTTTCGTGGCCCAAATTTGGGACCGTCGCAATAGCTTATGCGTAGTGTCTTTCAACAGCATATGAAATCTTATGACTCGATTAAAGAAGTACAGTCAGTAATACATAAAAACTACTAATATAATATTTCTCTCGTTTAGTTTTCAGTAGTAGGCACCTGGTTTCCTAACATTTCTATCTTATCTGCATTACTGCATTAGGCCACAGACCATATAGGGTCTGAGAGGCCAATAAAATTATATTGCCCAAGCACAATGCTATAATGTCATTGTTGGTTGCCAATGTTGTTGTTTTTTAACAGTTAAACTAGGCCTTCCAAAAGCCTTATAAATGCCAATTATTCCTCACCTCATACATTTTGTTATGAATAATGGTAACAACAGTACTAAAATCCCTTGTTACGATATGCAATTTATTATTTATAAAGCTTAAATAATTTCCTTTTGAAACATCACACAAGTTTTTGGGGCTCCTTTAGTACAAAAATAATTCAAAAAAGCTCGACCTCGATTTTTTAAGTTCAGTTCAATCAGGGTTGAGCGACTTAAAAGTATTGTATGCTGTATAAGATAGAGAAAACCCCTTCTGAGCTCAAGTCCTTCAATTGCCACCCTGGAAAATAATTTCTTGATCCGCCTCTTAAGATGCCCACTATGACTAATTAAAATAAACAGAGATGTAAGGGGGTGTCTATAAAACGAAGACCGAAGACCCAAAAACAAAGACCCCTATTTTTTCTCTTTCATTTTGATGATAATACGCCAGGCTGTCACAAAAATACTTTCAGTAAGATAATTGAGAAATAATTGGAGGTCTTCGTTTTCGGGTCTTCGGTCTTCGTTTTGTAGACACCCAGGGTGTCTATAAAACGAAGACTCTTGAAAATTTCACAAACAGACGCCCAAAAAATTTCGTAATTTTGATTTTGTGACAGTCTGTCATATTATCATCAAAATGAAAGAGAAAAAATAGGGGTCTTTGTTTTTGGGTCTTCGGTCTTCGTTTTTATAGACACCCAGATGTAAGGCTTGTTTGAAACCGATGTAGCAAAGCCTACAGAAATTTAAATTAAATTTTAACTGATAGTTTAGGCCTATTTTTGATTTTCCCCTTAAATGCAATGTTATGTTATATAAAATCAATTATAAGGGTACGAATATAGGCCTACTTAAATTTCTAAAACAAAGCATTAGAAATGTTGTGTATATGGAACATTACAGATGAAAATAAACAATTAGATACAATCTAAACTATAATAGTATTAGTACTGTACTGTAATCTCTATTATATATCTAAATTGCTTTTACAGTAGGCCTACATTAGATAACGCAAGTAAAATCTGTACTGTAGACTTTGTAGTGCTCACAGTAGGATACCGTATTCTATAACGCGCCTAATTACATCCTTGTCATTTGATTGGTGGATTTTGTATCACGTGACATTGGTTATTTACACCATTTCGTTACTCATCATGGACATTTATTTCACTGTGCATTTTTAGTTACCGTACTCGCACGAATAAGCGCTCGGGCGCTTAAAATATTTTTGGCTCTTTTGAGTGGCGCTTATAGAAAGAGAGTGGAAATGGGGGGGGGGCGCTTAAGGAAATAGATGAAAATTGAAGAAAAATGCAATCGTCGAGATAGCATGGCTCATAAATGTTGGGGGTATTTACACAACATCAGATGTAAAGTGGTGGTGGTAAGCGTGTTGGCCATCTGTCAATTCAGATTAGCAGGAGCATTGCAGAGTTTCTTGCTTAAATACGGGAATCATGAAGTCAGTTTATTTTAGTTGCCATACAATACTTTTATATCAAATACTGTAATTCTAAATCCCAAAAGGGTATCAATAAAACAAAAATTGCATTCTAAAAATGCATCAAAACTGAAAACAATGTTAAACTTAATGGAGACTCATGTTTGACCGACAGATGGATACAGTAGATGGACTGACCGACCGACAATGCTATTAGATAGATGCGAATAGTTGAAGCATAAAAATTAAGTTGAATTTCGAGGCGCTTATTCAAACGGGGCGCTTATTCGCGCTAGTATGGTATTTCCATCCGTGCATTTTTTTGTTCTATCCGTTTCGCTCAATATTGCACACCTCAAAATAATACAATCCTTACATTGGTTAAAAAGACACTGGACTGTTTCATTTAGGAAAAGGTAGATTTTTTTTCATAAAATATTAAATGACAAGAATCTATTTTAGAGGTGTTATCAAACAAATATGAAAGTTTTTTATTCCCCCAATGGAAACAAATATTTTCATGGGTAGAAAGATTGACTGTTGTTCCATTCGAGCCGAGTTGAATGGAACAACAGTCAATCTTTCAACCCACGAAAATAATCTTTCCACTGCACTCATAAACATTCATTATTTGTGTATCTTGGGAAAAAAAATACTAGTGTTTACGGTGCTGCAGTCTGGCCCAGTACCACCCGCCTCCCTCTTCTTTGTCGAAAAGTACCTGCTTGACGTATGCTTCCACGTGCCTTTCTACTTAGTCGTCTCGCTGTGCTCTTCAATGTTCCACGTGCAGGCTTTTTGCACTCCACTATCCATGCGCCAACAAAAGGAATCTTTGTGAAATTAGCATTTTGAGACACAAAGAGCAGACAACTGTACTCTCCAGTACTGAAAAGCTTGAAAGTAATCGTTGTAGTTTTTATCTGTCCTGCTGTTGAAGCATTGTATGTGATACTTTCAGTTAAAGAATCGCCTTCACCGTTCAACTTTAGATCACAGAGAATTTCAGCAAATGCCTTTGATCGTATCACTAGTTGGCAAGTACCGTCAGCAGCTATAATATGCGGTATTGTAGGAGAAACTATCTCAAGACCTGAATCAAAGAATTCTTTGTTTGGACCAACGATCCCGTTTATATTAGGAAAAGGACGTTCAACACACGGCTCATCGCATTCCACCAACCAGCAACCTACCGACATACAATCTTCACCTGCGAATAATGTAAATTTGAAAACACCTACTTGCATCAATCGAAATTTTATGGTATACTCTCCATTTCCATTGCCAATATATGACAATTGTGGACTAACACAACCTCGTAGTTGTGTCCGTGTTTTGTCGTCTGACTCTAAGGTGCAGCTCATGTTAAGTTTTCGACAGTCTCTTGTAGATAAATTCAAAGTGCACATACCAGAGCTTGTTGTCAGAGTGGAACGCTGAGGTGAAACAACTTCTAAACCATGTTCATAAAACTTTCCATGTGGACCAGAAATTTGCTGGAAAATAGGAAAGCATTCTCTAGTCCAGGCTTCCATACTTTCAATTAGCCAACAGCCTAGTAATTTGCCAGAATTTTGACCGAATAGTCCCGAATACAGAGTGAATTTATAGTATCCTTGGGATGGTAAACGAAAGTGATACATCAGAACCTTGTCTCCATTATCATTATCGTTTGCATTATCTATGTCTGCATAGACACAGGAAAATGGATTATGAGAAGAAAAATCACCTTCAAGTTTGTGAAATACATTCCTTTCTTTAAATTTAGTTACTTGAACACTTAGTGAACAAGTGCCATCGTTTGCGATTACATTACCTCTTCTTGGTTTCAATAGTTTGAAGTTCTCTTCGAAGAAGACATTAGTGGGTCCACAAATATATGGCACTTCAGGATAATATTCACCTTCAAATTTCTTATGGCAATCTATCAGCCAGCACCCAGCTAGAGGAAGGGTGGTCTCTCCAGGACTGCCCAAAAAGATACTAAACTTGTAGAAACCTTTTTTCGGAAGTCTAAATGTGAATATGATAAGACCTTCAGTAGTCCCTCTCAACTGGACTTCACCATTGACATAACGTATCATTGAAGCAGATGTAATGTTGTTCTCCAAAGTATAGGAAAACGAAGTTGTGGAATATCTGTGGCACAATATTGTTAAACAACATGTACCGTCAATACTAGTAATCGTTGAGACATCTGGTGAGACTATTTCAAGTTCTGAACTTTTGCCGTGCGCTGTAAGGCCGTAAATACCCTTATGTGATGGGTAAAGGTCGCCTAAGTATTGTCTATCACACTGAATAAGCCATTGGCCTATACATGGAATGCTTTGTGTTCCAGATTTCCCGGCGAAGAGTTGTAAGAGAAGGTTGCCTTTCATTGGTACTACAATCTTGTAGTTAACCTCTGTCGATTTCGTTCTGCAATCCGTTTTTATTTCGGCGCATACCATTTTTTCTGACAAATTGTGTTCGTCATCATCAGTGGATTTTATTGAATGAGTTAGCGTAATATCGTGTTTAGATGGAAATCGAATACTGAGTGTACCGCGACCATCAACTGTTTCAATGGTAGAAGTTGGTATACCAAGTAGTTCAAACTTTTCTTTTAAGAAGTGCTTGTTTGGTCCATATTGACCCGAGCCGGCAGGTGGATAAGGCTCCTTACGTGCAAACTTTCCTTCACATGTGACTAGATACTGTAACCCCAGCAAATATTGGTTATCATCTACTGCAGTATCAGACTGAAATGAAACTGCAAATCTGTACTCGCCTGGTGCCGGGCATTGGATGTGGTACACTATTTTATCCATCAGCCATTCACCGTAGACATATCTGTCTAGTAATTGGTCTTCCTTACCGATTCGGGTTAGATTCGCAATCAGCTGTCCATTTTCCACAAGTGCCACCTCTATAGACACTTTTCCATCCACGCACTTAACAAAAGGACCATCAATATGCAACATAGGTAAGAATCCAGCCTCAAGAAATTCAACGGAAGGGCCGTAACACAGTCCAGCGATCTCACTGTCAGCAAATGGCTTTTGACTTCTCGGGCCACCACATATCTTGTACGAAAAGAGTTCATTGTCAGTGGTCTCGGTCACCTCTGGAGAAGCATTGATAAGGTTCCCAGAAATATTCAGATTAAAATTACCCTTGAATGGCAAACGTACATAAAATGTTGTCACATCATCCTTGGTAAAATATATCACACGGTCTTTGTACTTCTCTTCACTGACCGCCTCCTTCAGTGAACCTGTATATTTCATTGCATGTCTGTTACGTATTGTTATCTCAACTAAATTATCATTAGATTCAATTACGCCAGTTGAATGACTTAATAACTGTATGCCCGTTGCCAATCCAAGAGAACCCCAGCACACCGTGGCATTCCAAGTATCAAAATTATTGAATGGACACTCAATCATCTGCTCTTCCAACACGTAGGCCTGGTTGTTGCTATCACGTGGTAAGTGCCTTGACGTAAATGATATTGGATTTGCTATAAACATTGACTCCACCCATTTGTGTTCGAACTTGTGTTTCCCGGAAGAATCTTTGTCTGTAAATATAATTTTCATGAATTTCCTTTTCATTTTGAAATAAATATTTAAATAAAATGCGTACAAGCCTAGTCTTTCACGATACATCTTTTGTTTTGGATCTAATCAATTTGCGAAAATATTCCTAATATAAGACATACTATTACCGATTTATAAGAACGTATAGGCTAGATCCAAACCTACAAACGAAAACCAGTGACATTAAACACAGTGTCGCTACAAGTTTCATGAACATGTTTAAAAGAGACGATATCTCATCCTCTCGTTTGTTAACTAGAAACACAACCTAACGACATCATCGTCAACTTTCCATCACTTGCCTGTTGTAATTCTAACATCATCGTTGTCACAAATATCAAATATCCTTATATAATAATAGTAGCCTAATTGTATAGTATATTGAATTGAATGTTACACATTTTATCTATATAATGTTTAATTTGCCAATGGTGGTATCCTACCTGTACCTCCAGATGCCCAAGTGCAATCACACTGGTATGGTCTGTCGTCGATCCAGACGATATTCCAAGCGTGTGAATCTGGAAGTTCAATAGGTTCGCCGTCTTCTCGACATTGTTCGTAGTCCGACCCTGGTGCCGAACGTGACCCACCACCAATGTATTCACATTTCAAACCAGCCTTTCTAGAAAACAGAATTTATATATTGGTATCCGTTGAAAACGTCACAAATATGTTATAATGATTATCATGAGAAACATTATGACAATAAAAACAGTGGCGTATCTAGGGATGCGCGGGCCTCCACTTAACTTTCCCCACCCCCATCAGCACCCTCATTTCAAGGCTGAATAAAAATAAGTAAATATAACGACGTTGACATGACAACTCACCCTTACTTGATCTTTCGACTGTACTGCAGTATAGGCTTGTTTGCAATAACTTGAATTTTCATAATAAATAGTTATTGAATAAATTTAGTCAACGTTAAGATGAAGGGACTGTTTCCTCTGATCAGTGGCATAACAAAGGGGCCGGATGCCCCTGGGCTGGGGCTCTTCGGGGCCCCAGGACTCTGGGGGACGGGGGACGCGAAGGGTACCCGCTGGGGGTCTGGCGTTTTTAGCATTGTGTGACGTATTTTAATGCCTTTTTTACACATTCGACATCTAAGTTTATGTATCGTGATTTGACCAAAAAAAAAAGCATACTTAAATATTATTACAATAAATATCAAACAAAACGAGCAAATTAAAATCAATAAATATTTATGGACAGAAACACATGTATCATACTCATGTGTCAATACTTTTGCTCATAGTTTAATTTCACTCGGCAGAATTTGCCTTTGGATGGGCCTTGGTTATTTTTTTGTAAAAAAAAAACATAATTTGAATTTGGTGGGCTCCGAGGCCCCTGGCGTTAGCCAGTGAGAGCTCATAGCCGTTACGCACTGGCTCTGATGATGTCTCTTCCATGTTTAAAACTTATGTTGAACTGTCGTATTCAAAGTTGTAGAAGCATATGTTTTGATGTACGATACTGTTTTCATATCCATCAACATTCTAATTTTAAATGCTTGCATTGCTCTGGTTCATGTAGTAGTTAAAAAACGTTAATTGTGTTTTTTAGACCAGGTTTGGAAACTTATGGTTCTGGTTCGCCAAACTAGAAGCATGTCATTGCCTCGACTCAATACCTGATGAGTCAATGCAACCACGTTCTCTGGTTTCCTTCGGGTGAGAAAGTCATGAAGGAAACTCGAATGTTGTATACACCACGTCGTAGCTACCCTTATCCCTATGTGCTTTTAGACCTACGGTGGGCAAATTTATTAAAGGTTTTGTTGGTCACTGGTTCTCATTTTCCACTCTGGGTAGCCGTTCAGTCAATGGGACTCTTTCACGCATTCATCGTCTTACTGTGCACATCGAAAGCTCAAGTAGGGGTTGTTAGGGATGAGGTCAATGACTTACCATATTACTAACTTGGTAGCTGAATATCTACCGTTCAATATCGATCAATCAAATGACATGACGTGATTATTTGATGACAAATTAGACAGACGACGCTGGAAATGACCATGAAAAAACGTCTAGCAACGATGGATAGACTTATGTTCTTGGGCTATGCAGATGGAGGATATAGAAGGTGAAATGACTGCATGATACGGAATTCACTCACTCGCATAAAACTTTGTATAGTTTTGCGTAACCTTCACATACGCATACGCCACGTGCCAGCGCAGCTTCAGCACTGTTATCCCCTCTAATCTTCGTGTCGAGGTAGTTGACATCATATGATAGGTAGTTTGCCTCCCATCGAAACAGTACTCGGGCCTTCTGGAGTTCTGTTTCTGCAAATCGCGTCAGATACATAACGAGAGCAGTAACATCATTTTTAAGGTCCGCTGGTGCCTTAATAAAATAGGAATGTATACTTTTGAATAAATAAGTACAGTATGCCTATTTCGTTTGTTTTTTGTTGTTGTTTTTTTGTTTGTTTTTTTAGTTTTTTTTTTTAGATGATTTGCCTTAGAAATAGTATAGGCTTAATCTACTCTTTATGGTCATCACACTACACATACAGAAGGTCCTGAATAAGAGTATTTGGTAGCCAAAATGTGATAGATAGAAGTTATCAATTCCTTAACTTAAGTGCCTACCTTTAGTGCATGTTCATCAAAGCGCCGTAGAGCAGATAAATCTGGAATAATATTGCGTTTACCCTTCCAGAATAGATCTTCTATCGTAAGTTTGGTAGGTGCAATTTCTCGCGGGCGCTTCCTGAGCACTGGATAATTTCTTGGATGGTAATCGTCTGTATTAACTTGTTCACTATCACCTGATGACATTACCTCATTTTCCCTCTCATCGTTTATGGGAGTTTTTTTACCACATTTTTTGAAAATGTCATCCTCGTCAAGATCACCAAGGCCAAGATTATCATGTCCCTCTTCGTCAATAGCATATTTGTTTGCATTGACACCATATTTTTGTCGAAAAGACTGAATGTGTGAAATTTTAGAGGTTTCAAGTGAGGTAAATTCACTTGGATCTGATGACCTCCGTTCGGCAGAAGATCCATGGCAATGCAAACAACGGGAAGTAGACGTAGCGCAGCCCATGATTTCTACCTCTCTATACTTCTTTACACTGGTGGTGAAAATTAATGAATAACCTGGTGTCACGTCATTATTCATCTATATTAATTTATATTATAAGGCTTGTTGAGATATTTTTTATCCTATCAATGGCGATTTTTAACTACAAGCATAATATTTGTATGTTATCACATTCCAAGAATCGAGTGGAGGGGTGGGTGGAGGACTGAATCTTTTTTAGGGCGTAACCAGTGGCGTAACGCATGCTCTCAGCAGTCCCCAGGTTCCCCGATTCTAAGGGGCCCCGAGTCGATCCCCATTCGGTCCTCGATCAGCAAAAGAGCTTTGTTGATCGGCAAAATAGCTTTGTTAATACATAACAGAATAATGTGTCTCTGACATCGATTGTAGGACATATTGTATTATATCCAGTGACGGATTAAGGGGGCCCATAAATTTGTTATATTTACATATAATTATGTTGTAAAAAAGAAATAGAGATAAAAAATAAACAAACTTATATTCAAATTTTAAGTCTGTGAGTGCCATTTCCGGCCATCTACATGTACCATATAATACATTTTCTTTCCTCAGTCTCTACCATGGTGGGACTGAGGTGGTACAAACCCATCATATGTGAAAGTTCCTAAGCCCCTCTATTTCAAATTCTTACTAGATCCGCCACTAATATGACATTTTTTCGTCGTTAAAAATAGTTACAATGACAAACATGATTTAAAAACACATCTAAACCCCACAATGTAAATGGCGACCGGAAAGGGAAAGTATCGGAAAGTCACACGTTACGCCCACTGGGTGCGTGACGTGACCCCTTACCAACACACTCCTATCGATAGTCTCTGTTTCCTATTCCACTTTTTCTTTATTCTTTTTCATGATAATCCTTCGTTATGTTCATGGATCAGATTATATTTTACATTGTAAATGACCGTCATTCTTTGTTTGATAACCATCAAATTGAAATATAGGCCTAATCATGGATATTCTGCAATGAAAATAAAACGACTCACCGAAAGTGTGTTTTCCTGTGGGTTCTCGCACTGCCGATGGGTTTGTGGTTGTCGTGTGCGTACAATAAGCTCTAAATATCACTGTCAGATATACGAGTTAGGCATATTGCATAATACAGAAACGGTATGAATAACAGCTATGGAAATGAATAGGCCTAACCGTTCCTACACCTATATATGCACGAAAATGACACTTATCAAGCAACAGCGGATTTGGAAATGATAAAATAAACAAGATAAACTTAATTCATGAGGGGAAAACGATCGGGATTCTACTGTCTGTGAAGTAGATTTGTTATTATGCAATTCGAGTTCAAAGTCTATTCATGGTGCCGTGTAGATGTTCATCTGAGTCATGATTATAATAATTATTAGCATTATTATTAATTTTATTATTATTATTGTCATTATTGTTAATATCATGATTATCGTTATTATTACTGTCATTATTATTAAAATTATTACAGAATTATTATTGAATGGAATTATTTCAGGGACCCCAGTCTCAAAAAGCCACAGGGCCCCAGTCCCATCGTTACGCCAATAGAACTCCGAGTCCCATCGTTACGCCACCAGAACTCCGCCTGTCATTAGAAGATTGAAAATGGTTAATAAGTAAGCCTATTATTTATTAAATTATACAGTCTTATTATTTGTTGTTATGGTATATCAAAAAATGTGTATAATATAATTTATTTATGTATATTTAGTTGTCCAACATATTGCTTTGATCATCATTATAGGCCTCATTAAAAAAAAGTGTGAGTTTAAAAATAATACAGACAAAAGAATTCAAAATTCCATAGTTTACAAAAATGTCTTCAGTAGTCTTATATTATAGCAGCAATTCCAAATAGACCCCTCTTTTTTCTGAAGTAATCTGGTAAAGAAACCCATCTTGAAAAAAGCCCATTATGGGTTGTGACATCTGCCGGACTGATGGGCTGCGTCACAAGAATCCTAAAACAGAAGACAGGCTTCTTTTTAGTTTTTACGGTAGGCCTGACAAATGCCGGCCAATCCGGCTTCGAGAGAACACTGCGGTACGGTCTGTACCGAAATGTCTTTTTAACCATTAAACATGTAGACGCACATGAGGCATATTTTAATATAAAACAGATGTTGCTGCTGAAGACTTATTCCTATTTTTAAGTTATCATCATGGCCGGCGGAACCCCCCCCCCCCCCCCCCCTTTTTCCAAAAAAAAAGGGTC